TTGGCACCAGCAGCCAGGAAATTAAAAGACATATTGCGATGGCAAAGTCTGCTATTAGGGACCTCACCAAAGTACTGAAGAGCAATGGTGTCTCTCTGGAGACTAAAGTGTGTCTTTAGGCCATGGTCTTTGTAATCACTTGTTATGCACCAGAGAGATTTAGTGACTGGGGTAATCGGGATGGGTGTATTAGAGACTGCGATTAGCACAGGACAGAGCAGAGTTTAGGGCTGTTGTACATAGGGCGGCTTTGAGTCACAAGCGACTCAAAGGCTCATAACAACAACAACATACTGAGTCACTGTGTGAGGTTCCTTTCCTTGAAGTTTTAGTGGCCCTGGCCATCCACACAGTGTAAACTGGAACTTCATGCAGTATCCATGCTCCTTACTGCCACTCTGCTCATGCCTAATAAGAAAAGGCATCAATGTATTGGAAAAGGCAAATATATTGAAAACAGTCTTAGATTGTGGACCATACAAAAAATACTATCAGGCCATATTTAGGTGTAGAGCATCCAGGCTTGTTCCACTAGGTGGCCGTTTTGTGCTGGTTTTTTAAAAAATCTCCTGCAGCCAACACAGCTGTCTTGCAGATTTTATCCACATTCCTTCAGCTCCTTGAAGTTATTACTTATATTCAATGTTGTTGTTGTTGTTGTTGTTGTTGTTGTTATGTGCTCAGCTTGTAGCAACACTATGAACAACCAATTTGAACACTGTCCTGCCCTGTGCTGTCCCCACAATCTGTGAGACACTCAAGCCCATTGCTGTAATCATTGTGTCAATCTTGTTGAAGGTCTTCCGCTCCTTCACCCCTCCCCATCTTTCCAGGAATGATGTCCCTCTTCTTCAAGGAATAACATCTAGAAACATGTCCAAAGTATATGAGATAAAGCTTCATAACCCTTGCCTCTAAGGAGCAATCTAGCTGCACCTTCTCTAAGACATATCTTTTTGGCAATCCATTGGATATTCCGTACTCTCCTCCAACATCTCAGTTCCAAGGCATCAGAGTCAGAAGAATAAGTGATTATGTTCAGTACTTACTACCAAACTTGCTGAGTGAGAGGTGAACAGGGTGAGACAAAGATGCCAACCAGTGGTGTCCCCATGAGTGTCAGAGTGGAACTATGTTCCACAGAGTTTTCAGTGGCTGAGTTTCTGGAAGTAGTTTGCCAGACCTTTCTTCTGCAATACATCTGGGTGAACTTAAGTCTCCAGCCTTTCCTTCAGTTAGCAGCTGGGCATATTAACCATTTGAAACTCCCAGGAACTCTGAGACAAAGATGGTGCCTGTCTTTAAGGGGCTCAGTTCTAGGAGATGTTATCAAATAGAACTTGGTATTGAAAAGAGTGACTGTTATGGGAATCCAGACAAATGCCATGAGCAGGTAGAAGAGGGGACATATACAGGCCTGCAAGAACATGAAAGTGCTCCTGGGCCTTCACAAGAAAAAGTCTGAAAACCCAATTACAAAATGGACAAAAGACATGGCAAGAATTTTCACAGAAGAAGGTATTTGAATGGCCAACTGACACATGAGGAATTGCTCCAAATAACTGGCAATAAGAGAGATGCAAATCAAAACCACAATGAGATACCATCTCACTCCAGTAACAGTGGTAAAGTTTAACAGGACAGAAAGTAATAAATGTTGGAGAGGGTGTGGTGAGATAGGAACTCTTTTGCATTGTTGGTGGCATTGTACAATGGTACAACCATTCTGGAAGGCAGTTTGGCACTTCCTCAAAAAGCTGATCATAGAAATTCCATATGTCCAGTTATTCCATTGCTTGGAATATACCCCACGAAAATGATAACTGAGGCACAAGCAGAGATTTATACACCAATGTTCATAGCAGCATTATTCACCATAGCAAGAACATGGAAACAGCCCATATGTCCAACCACAAACAAATGAATTGAGAAATTATGGCACATTTACACAATGGAATACTATGCAGCGTTCAGGAGCAATGATTTTGTAAATTATTACCTAACTTGGGAGGGACTGGAGAACATTATGCTAAGTGAACTAACTCTGTCCCACAAGGATAAATATTGTATAAAACTATTATTATAGAATGAATATAATGCTCCAAGGTGGGGGAATGTGGGGAGGGTGGAAGCCAAGGGGTGAGGATGTGCAGGGGGAGGAGAGATTAATCATGGAGTTGTACAATTTGGTGGGTGTAGGGATTAGGGAAATTGGAAGAGTCTGTTCTAAAGAAAAATATATTCAAATTTTGTAAATAAATTAGTATAAAACAAAAAGAATGTAAGGTGGAGTTTTGTAAGTGAAAGAAAGGAATACCCTCCATGAAATTTATTGGCATGATAATGGACTTAGACAGTGAGCTCAAGGTTGTCAGAGATGATGAAAATGGCACAGGATTAGACAGGGTTTAGATCTGTTGTTCATAGGGTCTCTGTGAGTTGTACTTGATTTGGGATCACCTAACAACAACATCCACTTTCTAAACAACATGCCTCAGGAAACTATGAACTGTGATAAATGTCCATAGTTGTAGTGGGGCTTCAGGCCTTGTGTTCTTGGGGTCATTCTGAGTCGTGCTCAACTAGAAGGCAAACAACAACAACAACACTGGGACCACTGCTGGCATAGTGGCAAGAAGCTGAACTGCAATCCCAAAGGCACACAGTTCTACTCCACCAGCTGCTCCAGTGGAGAAGGATGGACAGTCTCCTCCCATGTGATTAACTGCCTCTGAAAATCTGCCAAAAGGTCAGCTATGGTTCAGTTTCAACTTAATGGCACACAGAAACAACAGAGGAAAAAGAGAGAAAGGGAACTTGATCTTTAGGATATGCTGAATTTTTAACAAAAGTCATAGAAAATTTTGAAAATGAGTAAGGGTAATGAAATTAGTGTCATCAAACTGTACATTTGGTAATTGTTAAAATTAGCATGTGTTTTGTTATAGAAGGGGGAACCAGTCCTTGGAGAGGGAAAGCGCAAGAGAGGAAGACCCTCAATGAGATGGATTGACTCAGTGCCTGGGGTAGTGGGGGTGGGGGTGTCAGAGACGATGAAATTGGCTCAGGATAGAGCAGGGTTCAGAGCGACTCAATGATATAACAGTAATGATATATATTTAACAATTTGGAAGTAAAAAATACCTACCTGATCAAGCTGTCATGATGATTAAATGAGTTAAAGTGTTCGGGTTTGACCATCACTGGGCACACGATGAGTGCACAGAGCACAGTGGGTGCCATCACGGCCTGTAGCCTCACTCTGTGCTCATCGCTGCCTGTGGCCAACCTGAGAAGACACCACATCTCTGGGAGAAAGGAGATGCTCTTGCACTTGCTTCACTATGATGATTCAGGTGCCAATGTGCCTTGTGCCACTGTCTCCCTGAAGTGCTTCCAGGGTGCTGACAAAGTGCTTTCGCCCTTCTCAGGAGTGTGCTGATGCTGCCTCCCCGGCCCTGTCCCTGGCTGAACTCCGGACGGCGTGCAACGAGAGTGAGCTGGCTGCAGAGTTCGCCAACGCCATCCGCAGGTAAGCACTTGTCTCATGACCCCAAAGAGCAAGTTGTTTAGGAGAAAAGGCTGCATCCTGTTGCCTGTTTCTGTCAGCCCATCATGGATCATGATAGGCCTGCCAGGGAAGGAAGTGCTTCTGCCCATGACTCTCGGGACAGAAATGGAGAAACCCTGTTTATGTTGGGTTGTTTTGAAAGAGGAAGGGAAGGGTGAGTACATAAGCAATCGTTTCAACTGCAAATAAGAAAATCGTATCCCTTCCTGTCTTGTATTGCTCAGTTGAGTAGAGCCCCTCAGACACTGTTAAGTACTGTGACGGTAAAAGCAGGCATTCTAACTTTAGTGTGGATGCTTTGCCTTCAGCACTGGTGGCCTTTTCAGTCCAAAAGCCTCCTGTGTTTATTCAGCTCCGGGAAACTTTCCTCTATGTTTTCAATGTTTTTCCCTGTCAAAACTGCTGTCAGGGTCAGGGTGGTGTGTCCAACCTCTAGTAACCCCACAAGGAGAAATAGTCCCATCAACAACATCCCCAACACTAAACTATTCCCATGAGGTCACACATGTCCAACACCCCTGCCCTTTTGTCTGTCGATTCTAGCATCAACCATCCCTCCTAGGCCCCTCAGTTCTCTGATAATGGGTCTACAACCCCATTATAATGGCAACACAGAACTCACAGATCATACTCATGATATATGAGTGTATAAGAGAAGTTAACAGATTCAATTCAGGCTGGAAATAAGATGCAGTTCTTCAGGCAGGACAGCATCTAGGTGTGCTCACAGGCCTGCTTATCTTCAGCCTTTGGTTTTAAGTCACTGTTACAAAGCTCTCCTAGGTCTGTCGGTTGGTTGGTGAGTTTGATTTAATATTTGAGGAGTTTGCATTGAGTGGTGTTGAGGAGAGTTTAATAGGGTATCTGCCCCTCTACTCCCCAGCAAGCTTGAGTGAAAGCGCTGAGCTCTGGCGCCAGGGGTCGGTAGTCCCAGTTCAGCTGTGTTTCAGGAGGATCTCTGCTTCACTGCTGCTGCCTTCATCTAGGTCCCATTCTGACTCACACAGGATTCCTTAGCCCAGATGGATCGACACTACACTCTCCACTTCTTTCTTGCTGGTAGGGCAATTCTCATTTTTCTACTTCTCAATTTGCTCACTTAAAGCCTGGTAGAAAAGCAAGACTGACCAATCCCCTCATTAGTAATCTACACAACTTATTTGCATGTTCCCACCTAAAAGGTGCTATCTGTTTCCTTTATTTTTTTTTTCAGCCTAACTTCTATTAGCATAGCCCTCCACAGGCATGTGGCAGAAGCTAACGCTAATGACCGGGAAGTCAGTCTTGACTGTATCACACTTTCCCCCCATGTACTCTTTCTGTAGGGAGAAGTAAGTGTTGATTCATCTAGCTGTCTTCATGGCTTAGCTTTTCCTGCTTTCTGTCACTGTCCTTCTGCCATGTAGACTAAGGCTGTCCCATCTAAAAGAATTATTATTTTTTTTTACACTGACAGTGCTTTTCAGTGAAAACAAATCACATTTAAAATGTTCAGATGCCATGTGAGAATAGTGGTTTCAGTATTAGTACAATTGTAGAATTCTTCAGGTCAGTATTCCCACTCACAAATATATCCTTTACCTTTACCCATTGTGGCTTTTGGCCTGTCTTTTTTATGTTGGTGAATAAATCTATAATTTTTTTTAAGTCTTTTTATATCCTCTTGCATATCTCTGAGGATCTTTATGGTACTTAACTCTTAAAATTTTATTTTTGTCTGCTGTACTAACTCTGTTTCTTCATATGTGAGTATATTTTTCAGTTGGAGTTTGTAACTCTTTCTAGATGTTGACTTTCCTGGGACATTTAGAGGCTCTTCTGTGTGTGTTAGGGAATCCTGATAGAATAGTCCGAAGGGAGTTTTGCCCCTTACCTACAAGTAGAGCCTCTCTGTTGGTTCAAATCTGCCTGTGGCTCCGTGAGAGGAGGATGGGCAACCTTCCCCTCCCATGTGGTTTACAGCCTCTGAAAATGCACTGGAGGATAGCTAGAGTCTGCTCCAACTTGACAGTAATGAGATGGTGATGATCACGGCTTTGTATGTTTGCCATTATATTTTAAATTCCCAGGTAGCATGTTTGTGGTACTTTCTTGCAGCCTAACTGCCAAGCATCTGAGTGCGGCACTGAACATCAGTATCTGCCGTGGAGCCAGTTCAGGCACCTGGCATAGCCTGTGTGTCAGGATAGAACAGTGCACCAGGGGTTTTCAGCGGTTGGAGTTTTTTTTTTTATGTTGATTGACAGGTCTTTCTAAGGAGAAGGCACAGCTGCGTGGACTCCAGTGGCCAAGTGCATTAAGTGGTTGTGTCATCCAGGGACACCCCTAGTTCACCCACCCCCAGAAGATGTGGCCCGGCTTGATGATGTGCAGTCACTCGGCGTGCAGTAGCTCATCTTCTGGGCTGTCTCTTCCTCCTCCCTGACTCAAGCTGCTCGCCCCTAGTTCCCGATAGTCAGCACCTCTGGTTGGAGCACCCCAATTTTCTCTGCTTTTGGTTTTTGTGAATTATGATTTATACTTTTCTTCTTCAGGAAGAAGATGATTCTGCCTTTTTTCTTTCTTTCTTTCTTTTTTTTTTTTTTTATGATTGTCCTTGTTTCTGGAGCCATCCTTGGCTTTCTAACATGCAAATGAAGGATACCTTTTCCATCATGTCTGGGAATTTCCGGTGGAGAGAGAGGCTCTGAGTTGCATTCGGTCTGCTTAGACCTAGGGCTGTTTATCTTCCAGTAGGGCCCTCAGCTGATGGTGAGTTGGAGGCTGGCTTAATAGGGAATTTCACTACCCTCCTGATTAACTCACTGTCACTTTTGTGTCTTTCCTTCCAAGTTGTAATCGCTCTGTTTTGACACTGCCAAGTCCTCTGACCATGTGGTTAAATTGTAATTGCTGCGCTTGAGGCAGGAGGGAGAAGCAGCAGAGGAGAAAATTCCACTCAGTGCATCCTAGCGGCTCAGCGGTGCCAGGAACATGGGATGAGAATCCACTCCCTGGTTGCAGTGTGGAGCCATGTGGATACTGTATCTGGAAGCTAAGCCCCTAAGTTTCTCAAATAACCCAAACCTCATGGGCCTGCTCTGGCTCAAGAATGAAGCAGGTTCTGCTGACTAAACAGAAAGAGATTTCATTTACTCTGTCAGTTATGATGGATTTCCAATAACCAGGCTTTAAGTCGGTTAGCATGGATTTCTAATCAAGACTCAGATATATGGAGCCAAGAAAAACCCATAGGACTGGAGGAAAAAAGGCAGATCGCATAATTATACTGTAAATACGGCTTAGAAGCTGGAATGATTATCTCATGAGGGTATAAAATAGATACCTAAGGGCTGTGGTTTAGGGGTGTTTTATTTTTAAAAATTAAGTGGAAAGCAACACTTTCTTTGGACGTATTAAATCATGGTCAAGGTAGTGGCTAAGGTCAGTTGGGGAACTCTTAACTAGCATTTTCTGAAATGCTCCTTCCTTGAAGAGGGATGGCTCCAGGCGCCAAAGCTGTGGGCTGGCTAGATGGACAGTGCAAGTGTGGAGAACGGGTGGGGATGGGGCTGGCAACGGGCCTGGCTTGAGTAGAACCAAGCTCTTTCCCAAGGGGGTGCTTTTAAGCCACTGGTCATGGGTTGCTGTCCTTCACTCCCTTGTCCCCCTTAACTCACCAGGCTTCTGTATTATGCAGGCCCTTGCTGCCCACCACCCAAACCTGCGTCTCTTGGTTTTCTTTCATCTTTCAATCAGTTGTTATTGCTGTTGTGGTGGTGGTTATATGCTATCAAGTCGACAATAAATTTATTGAAACTTTTCATTGTGTTGTTAGCTGGCATCAGATTGATTCCAGCATGTGGTGACCTTGCGTGTGCAGAGTACAACGGCTGCAGAGAGTGCCCAGCACTCTGACTTTTCAGAAGCTGGTTGCCACGCCTGTCTTCCAGGAAGCCTGGGAGAGGCTTCAAGCACTTTCAGTTAAACATAGTCATGAGCTTACCGTGTTGCGCTGTCCATCTACTCCTTTAAGCTTTTTTTAGGAAATACCAGATTTACCTCTTATTATTGCAAAATAATTATTATTACTGCAATGATTCTTACCACTGGACCAATAGACAGCATCATGGTGGATGGTGAGGAGATTGAAACTGTCAACAGCTTCATCTTGCTTGGATCCACAATTAACACCATTGGTACCATCAGTCAGGAATTAAGGAGACACATTGCACTGGGAAAATCTGCAGTTAGGGACCTCTCCAAATTATTCAGGAGTAATGGTGTCAATTTAAAGACTAAGGTTCATCTGATTTAGGCCATAGTCTTTCCGATTACTTGCTGTGCATCTGAGAGCTGAACAGTGAATAAGGATGACAGAGAAAGAATTGACACCTTTGAGCTGTGATGTTGGAGAAGAGCACTAAACATCCCATGGACGGCCAAGAGAATGAACAGATACATCTTGGAGAGGGTGCAGTCGGAGTGCTTTTTGGAGGCAAGAATGATAAGACTTCACCTCACATATATTGGGCATGTTGCTGGCTATTCCTTAGAGAGGGACATAATGCTGGGAAGGGTGGAAGGTCAACGAAGAAGAGGAAGACCCTCAACCAGGTAAATTGTCAGGAAGTGTGAGGATGGCATAGGACAGGAATAGGGTTCAGATCTCTTGTTCACAGGGTTGTAGTGAGTCATGCTCGACTCGGCAGCACCCAACAACAACATTACTGCAAAAATGGAACTACTTCCCAACTTACTTTTCTTCCTCTGAAATAAAACCAGGATGCCACACAGTCGCATGTTTACTACGTAACTCCCATCTGGTCTGATTTCATCTCCCCCCGCCCCACCTCCGCTTCCACGAACATTTATTGCTGTTTGCTGGCTCTGGTATCGCCATAAAACCCCATCTGGATAACCAGGTTTCTCGTCTTGTACATGAGGTGCTTTGTTTTCAAGGCATCTTGTTTTCACTGCTG